TTTCTAGAAAAAAAATTCATTAAGACTGAGCTGGACACTGTTCCAAAAGTGGCATTGGATTAAAATCCATTTTTACAGGCCATTCTATTTTTCCCTTTTATATTCGCACTGTTGTTGTACCCCTCAAGTACAACTATGAATCATGAATCATGCACTAGGAACAATTTCGGACATACGTGCCAACAGAAATCTGACATCTTGTTGTTGTTGTTGTGTTTTGTGATAAACTTAAAAAAACTTATCTCGTTCAGACGACTAGCTTATGCTCCTGTATTTGCGACGATGAATTTATAATTGATGAGCTGCGGCAGGTATATTACTATGAACAGCGGAAATGAACATGATCTATATACCATTTCTCGATAACTTTGACTACTCAACAGTGTTATATGGTCTGGACTCTAGCTGATGTTAACTTGTTTGTTATTGTAAAATAAAACAAAATCCGAAAAAAAAGCTCGAAATACAAAAGCCATTGACAGTGGAACTTTTTCAACTATCTGTACACTTTCATTATAATCAACACGATTGTATTTTGGAGAGATGTGCATTGTATCCACAATCATCTGACATACACGGATTCAGAGTTGCCTATAAATTTATCCAACAAATGAATCAACTAAGCGCTGAATATTTTTTCTTGAGTTTAAAGAAAGTAAATAATTCCAAGTACAAGTCACTTAAATAATGAATTGCAAACTGACAGAGTAAGGCAGTGTTTCTCACATTCCCGGGAGGCGACTCCCTAGATAACATTTTCGTTTAAGCCCACAATAGAAGTTATAGCTCGGAGGAGCGATGTAGGCCTCGACAGTGAGGCCCTTGAGATTTTAAAGAATGTAATAAAAAAGAAAAGAAACTTAGTCATAATCTTGTAGGTTGGTAGGTTTTATTTTTTCATTTATATTAATTTAACACTGTGAATTGTGTATAGAATCCAAAGTGATGCAATCAAAGTTCACTAAAACGTGTTTTTTTTTCTTGTTTTTTTTTTTGGAAATTGTGTTGCCTACATAATTTTTAAGTGTTGTAAAAAGTTATTCCTGGAGATAGAATTGTAGTAGCGGCAGGTTTCAGCTCAAGTCGGCAACGGGTCTCAACCTTTTTTTGTCGCACCCCCCCCCCCTTTCTTGCTGTTGGTCGATGTTGGCTTGTAGCTCCAAACAACTAGTACAACTAAACTACAACTAAACTACAACTAAACTACAACTAAACTACAACTAAACCGTTAAAGTCGTTATATATTTTTTGATAAATAAACTTTGAATAACTTCAACTGACTTCTTTGTGAACAAAAACTCAATAGAACTTATTATTCACGATTTAAATTGAGATGAGATATAGAACTAATAGTAATGAAATAAACTGATATTTAAACAAAATCTAGCTCGCAAAAGTCTTTACTGTTCCATGTCTTAAGAACGTCTCACATTTGCACTAGGTACGTTTATTTCATTGTCACTGTGTAACCACCAATCAATCACTTAACCTCTTCTTACCGACGTTTAGGAAACACACACACTCCATAACACCCCTTTTTGTCAGGACGTTGCGCTCTCCCCCCTCCATATGTGAGGAACTAACACCCCCCCTCCTTTCCACTAATGAAAATGTTTTTTAAAATTACCAGTAATAGATCGACTTACAGGGCGGGCCATTGGACTCAAAACAAAAATTACAAACAACCCGCGAAAATTAAAGGCCAGAAATGAGAAGGCGCTTTTGGAAAAACCCGTGCGAATTCCTCGGCCGCTGCTATATTTTATTTGTTCTACTTTTCATAATAATTTCTTATGTTCGAATATCGTTTTTATTTTCAAAGAATAATGGAATAATTAGAATTTATTTAAAATATTTAAATTTTTTAATTTAATAATTTAAAAAAAAAAAGTAACCTTGGAATAATGATTTGGCCGCCCCCTAAAGTCGGCCGCCTGCGTGCAACGCGCACATTGCACAATAGGTAGCGGCGGCCCTGATTACACTAATAAACGCGAGGTTGATATCTGCTTGGGGACTTGACAACTCGACCACTTCAGGTTGTCTTGGTTGGCTCAAGTTTGTCAAACGTAGGCCGGCAACTATTTCTTTCGGTAGTTCTCCTTTTTTGGTCAGTATCCTCATCTATTTCGTTGTTGGGCCTACCTAGTAAGTCGAAACTTTTGTTTAAAATCGTTTGTTTCGTCTGTAGGTTTTTTCCAGCATTGATCTTTATAATGTAGGCCTACTGGCTAGAGGGTTGCCAGACGTCGACCAAAAGGATGGTGTCACCACCTCAAAGTTGGTGCCATTGAGTAGATACCCCATTTTAATATTATGAATGGTATTCACAAGTCATGGTTTAAAAAGGTGAACACTTTTAACCTTCAGTCAACTAGAGTTAAGGGCAGTTAGTTGGTGATAGTCAGTTGATAGAGTTACTTGATAGCAGTCAGTTGATAGAGTTACTTGATAGCAGTCAGTTGATAGAGTTACTTGATAGCAGTCAGTTGATAGAGTTACTTGATAGCAGTCAGTTGATAGAGTTACTTGATAGCAGTCAGTTGATAGAGTTACTTGATAGCAGTCAGTTGATAGAGTTACTTGATAGCAGTCAGTTGATAGAGTTACTTGATAGCAGTCAGTTGATAGAGTTACTTGATAGCAGTCAGTTGATAGAGTTACTTGATAGCAGTCAGTTGATAGAGTTACTTGATAGCAGTCAGTTGATAGAGTTACTTGATAGCAGTCAGTTGATAGAGTTACTTGATAGCAGTCAGTTGATAGAGTTACTTGATAGCAGTCAGTTGATAGAGTTACTTGATAGCAGTCAGTTGATACAGGCATTAAGAGTAGTCATTATGAGTGAGAGTTAGTAGAAGTCAGTTATTGTAAGCAGCCACAATGGTGTTACTATTATAAAGCAGTTGAGACTTGTACCAGTTATTAAGTTATTAATTTATTCGCCAAGTGTTCTATAAAGGATTACTACTGATGATTCTTGAATTGTGTATCATATTCACTATGTGGTGTTGTTGTATATATCAAAAGTATTATTTGCCTCTGTTACAAGTTGTGTCATTTCCTCTTTTGCAAGTGAAGTATGATCGCATGAAGTGTTAATCTTGACATTCATAATATGAACCCAATGTCACCGCGCCTACATCAATAAAACCACAACAGTAATATTATAGTGTCAGAAAATAATACGGTGACAAGAGGGCTTGTCATTTGGTGGCGTGTCCTCCTTTAGGCAGGCGTTAGCCTAAATCTTGTAGCCTAAATGTTCGGCTTTTGCTCTGTTGTTACCATTATTGCATTTTGTTCCCCAGTCGAATTCCATTTTACGTATATTCCGGTTTAATTACACAAACTATTCTATAAGTAGCAGATAGATGGTAAATTTTGTCATTAGGCTATCTCTCGTATGTCTTAGATAGTTCTTATATATATATATATTACCACAGGGAAAATGATACCTTCGAAAGAGCGTTAGTGCTGATCATAAGATTCTGGTTCCACGAGAGACTTCAGAGTTGGCTACAATCTGAAGAAACTATGATTTGAATTCCACACTCATAGTTGCCTTTGCGTCAACGATGAAGCACTACGTTAATTCGTTTGGGATGTGTGGCTAAGAGGCTTAAACCGCTTAGCTACCCTAACAAGGGGGTTTGAGTTCGACAATCGACTTAAGCGGAGTTGTGTTTAGTGAGCGCCTAAAAGCACCACGGATACTTTCTCCCAGGTACTCCTTCCCTCTACTGGTCTACAAAAGAGATTAAACCATAGCATGCAATGCTATAAGCTAGGAAGTGGCGCTATTTTAAAAAAATAGGCCTATATTATCACAGTTGTACAGCCTTAGGTTATACTGATATTTGTTTTATTAAATACATTGTAAGCCTAAGTTTTAATGTTTTTTTTTTTTTTTTTTACAAAACTGATATCAACTCACTCTGTCTGTCTGGTAAAAAATTTGAACACGTTATTTATCCGACACCCAATTTCGGATCAAGCTGAAATTTGGAGTCGTGTTTTTAAGGTCCTGCCTGTGTTTCCAATATAGACCATCTGACATCTTGAGCATATATGACTCCTCTACTATTACAGTTAAATTTGCCACTGATCTTGGTGGTCATTTTAGGGCAGGTGATGGTGGCGGTGGTGAGCGTGTGTTTGCAGGTCTGACATTTACGTCGCTTACATGGCCAAGTGCCAGATTCACTTGAAACTTCTGCAGATCGAAAACAACCTTGGTCCGGCAGGGTTACATATAGGCATGTTTTTCGTAATTTCTATACAGTCGTTTACCCATACAGCAGTAAATCTTTGTTTTCCCGGTCAGCAGCTGTTCTTAGCAGGATATCAAGAGAAGCCTGTCCATTGTTTTATGTTATCCAGCCAGCTTTTCTTTGGACGACCCTTTCTTCGTGCTCCCTCCACTGTACCTTGAATAATGACTTTTGACAGTGAGTCATGTCTTACAATAGGACCAAACCAGCTCAGCTTATGTCTCTTCACAGTATTAAGTTCTTCCATTTTGCCAGCCAGTGTTGACTGTAAAAACACAAAGTCATTTGTCTTCTTTTCCTGGTAACTGATACCCAGCATTTTTTCTGTAGCATTTACTCTTAAAGGTTTCAGCCTCAGCGTTTAACTTTCACAACCATATAGGACCACAGTTTTAATGTATAGGGCTTGAATTACACTGTGAAGTTTTTAACAAATCTTTTATAAAAGGTAGAGCTATGGCCTCTTTTTAATAGAAAATATTGAATAAGCTTTTACAAAGTAATTCGAGCCTTGCTGACATAAGTAAACCCATTCGGTGGCCTTCCCTTTTTTCATTAACCATGAAATAATAAACACTATATATAGTGACTTGGCAGAATTTAAGTCATTGGTTAATATGCATGACTAAATGCATGACGCATAGGACGTAATCATCTTTTTTGAAGTAACGTCTGTATTATATAAGATAAGTCTTTCATTAACCATGAAATAACAAACACCTTGTATAGTCTTTCATGTAGATTTTAATTGATGAAACAATCGAGTCCACAGACACCCCCAAAGGGTAAACACAAAAACAATGACTAAACTTTGAATGATATTTATAGTGACGTTACGTTTTTAGGGGCGGTTGCAAACATAAAAAGCCAATCAGCCTAGTCACAAACAAAATGGCCAGGTAAAGGCAAAAGTTTATGTCTGCTTAAAAAAAAGTTTTTTTTATAACAATTCATCTTTTGACTAAGTCAACAATGTACAATAAATACATCAAGTTTTAAGTCGACTGAAAAGATTGCTTTGTTTTTTCAACTAAGATAATAATCAAACATTTCTCAGAGAATACATAAAATTCAATTTCAACAATACACCAAACAGCATTAAAACAACAAAAAAAACAACAACAACAACAAGAAAACTAGTCAAACACCACTATCTACAATGTTATGCTGAACATTATTTATAAGTTAACGCTAACTCCTGAGATGGGCATGTAGTCGAGATTAAAAATAAAACAGTAAAACTTTGATGTCATCTATAATTAGTTGATGTCAGCAAATGATGTACATAAAGAAGTGGTTCTCCCATTTTGTTTTCCTCACAAGGTGAAAGGTTAAGTTACTTACTACAAGGTGAAAGGTTAAGTTACTTACTAGGACTGTCACATGAAGTCTGAGTCTGGTAAAACATTTATAAGAGACAAAGATGTACAAAAAATGATTTCCTAATATAGGGAGATGAAAAAAAGGAAATGTTCATTACAGAAGGAAATAACCAATTTTGGCAACTTTTAGACATTCACATTCATTAAACCTGGGGGGGGGTTAAATAAAAGTTGTTGACATGTAAATGCAGCTTGATGAAGACCAAGACTAAAACATGAATGCAAATGCTAATTAAATGGACAATATCATTGCAGCCACATACAGCAAACAGAATTAGCTCCAGGACAAAGGTTTGAAGAATAAGCCTTGATGACAAGTCTTTAATAGCTAAATATTTTTATAGATAACATTACATATTTTAAGTGTCCTTAAAATTCATTTTTTACAATGCAGAATAATTTTGTATTTTTTTGAGTAGTTAAAAAATAAAACTAATAGTACGTGTAATTGCTTATGAAAATGGCACCATTGAAAACAACGACTTTAGATGCATTTACAATAAGTCAAACAATAGGATGTAATATACCGATTCTAGTTTCAGTCCAAAATAGTTTCACTACTTAAACTACTTCTGACAATTACGTTATGAATGAAAGTCAGGGTCACAGGTAAAAGAAAAGAGAATTTCTATTTATTACTGTAAAGGGAATGTGTGCATCAGGCACATGCAGTATTGGAAGGTGAAGAATTAAGGGTCTTTGTAAAAAAAAATATTATTATACTTGTGATTTGCCAACCTGATCTGCTTTATGAATAGGATAAGTTAATAAGTTAAATAGGAACACACAAAAAGAAGCAGAATCAGGTTGATCTTAATTTTACCCTTCTTAACAACACAGAGAAATAATAAGGGAAAAAAAAGGCACAGATACCACATTGGCTAAGACAAAAATGTGACATTGGGTCTTAGGTATATTATAGAAGGTAACAGAAGTTTAATATTTAAATTTTCAATTAATGTATCATTTTCAGCTTTTTTTTTTTTTAAATGTATGCAATTTTAAAATTTTCAAATTAATTTTTCACCTTAAATCTCAATGAAAATAAAAAAGTGGAATTTTCGTCCTATCAATAAAAACATGCAGTGTTCTAGTGCACTAAATAGCATCAATCCATCATTTAATGCTAGGTCTCCTTGGTGAATCAAATCCTTATATTTGTATTTTCATCTCATATTTAGAAAGAAAAACAAGTGAATCAATATTTATTTATAATTTAAAATATCTCTTACCACTAAATGATTTCAATATGCTGTCAATTGTATTCTTTAAATGTTGAAATAATCTTTCATAATCTAATTTCAAAGAATGAAGCCATTAATAATTTTTACCTCTACATTTTAGACATTGCCTTTTTTTGGTCCTTGCTAAAACAAATAGTTTTGTTTGAAGTATATTTTGTGAATTTAGTTAAATACCAGATTTATATTATAATTAATACTTGATGATTTTACATTTACAAATAAAACTGAAAGCTAACTTTATAATTTAAATTTCTCACAATCAATTCTTGCCATTAGTGAAGAGCAAATTAATTTGCAATTTAAATGAAAAAAGCTCAATCTAATTATAAATGAATGCATTTGCAAACTAACTATATTGTTGACTGTCATTGTGTGTTCTTTAAAGAAATTGTTTTTTTGTACATAAGGTTTGAGTTTTTTTGGATATGAGAGAATACCAGAAATAATGCACACTGATCGTTACCTATGAAAGAAGACTAGTTTGACTTGAGTTTTACATATGCTACATCACATTTTCCATACTCACAGAATAAAAATAGCTCATAACTTTTTTTTAAAACTCAAACCTAAAACTGTCATCTAATTTCTTTAGATAACTTTTTGTCAGACTAAATATATTTAGATTTTACATGTTGGTTGTATTTTTTTAAAGTTCATTTCATAATACTCATATTTATTGATTTGGTACTAAAACTGGTTAAGTTTTAGAAGCTTATCTATATGTTTTGCATTTAAGGTATTTTGTGGTACGTACTACACTTTCAAATACTTAATTATTGGAATATAATTTTTCAAATAAAATAGTCAAAACCAAAATTGTAAGACATTTTTTTTTTCATAATAGCTGAGGTTTTTTTTTTTATCTTTCATTTGCTAAGAATATGTCATTGTTCATGGAATTATGAAAACTTCTTCACAGTAGTAACTAAAAAGGCTGCATTGAAAATCGGATTGGAAACCTAGCTTTAAAAAAAAAATTTAATCTAAAGAAAACCTACTTAACAATTTATTAGCAACCCCTTTCAACAAATACAATTAAAAAAAGGTTAATTAATATTTCACATAACGATGGTGATATTCAAATGCATCTTTCTATTCATTTGTTTCATTTGACAGTTTGTGGTTAAAATGAAAAGTTGAAAGGACAAAGAAGGTCTTCATTATAATACATTTTTGATGTGTTTTAGTTGTTTTTTTTTATTATAGATGTTTGATTAAAGAAAAGACAGTAACAAGTTAACACACACACAAAAAAAATGCAAAGAAGAAGAATAAAAGTAAAAAAAATACACAGGAAAAAAAACTTTCTTTTATACATAGAAATATAATTTAGACTAGTAAACAAAATGTGTTTTCTCTCACATGCTGCTAAATCTGGCCATACAATGATTTACCCTATCTTCATAGCTCATTCATCAAAATATTTGAAAATGACATTTCTCTACAGTTTAACATTAAAATAACAACAAAGATGCTGAAATTTTAAAGAAAAAAATGTTTAAAACAAAATTGTGTTACAAGTTATGTATATTATAAAGGGAAAGAGAAGGACTTGTGGGAGGTTTGCATTCAGTTTTTAAAAGGTTTACATAAGATAAGCTGCATCTATTTGTTGCAATAATCATGCTTGAGTCATCAAAATTTTATGAAAAAAAAAAGAAAATTGTGAGTCTAATATAAAAACTTTCGTGGGTAAACTCAAAAAAGAATACAGTTAACTCTTGATAGTCTGACAATTATAGGATGAGGAAGAGCTGGATTGCTGAAAATGTCGGATTAGCAAAAGTTAGATGTACTTCAAAGAATTTCACCATATATATATCAAGAAAAGTGGGTGTGGTGGCTGATTGGTAAAGCACTTGGCTTCAGAACTGAAGGGTCTCAGGTTAGAATCTCAGTGAAGACTAGGATTTTGAACTTTGACATTTTTAGGCCCCCTGATCCACCAAACTCTAATGGGTAACGTTCCTGATTTAAGTTGAGAAAAGAAAAGGAGGTTTGTCATTGTGCAGGTCACATGACACCCTCTTTAACCATTGGCCTTAGAAACAGATAACCTTTACCTCATTTGACCTATAGATTGTAAGGTCTAAAAAGGGGTACTTTAATTATGTCAAGAAAAGTCTATTTATGATATAATAATATTTTCTTTTAAACTTTCAAGGGTATAAAATAAATAATGAACGAAAAAGGAAAATTTATTTATATAAACAAAAAATTATATGATTTCAGCTTTCACACACTGTATTATATTATAATTTAGGCCTACCTACATTTAAAAAATATACATACTACAGAATACATTAATTACATGAGTTTATGTCAATGCCATGTTGAATTACCGAGAGTGTTGGACTATCAAGAGTTAAGTGTAATTTGAAAACATATTCAGCTGTGTCTACTGTATGGAATTAAATAAATAGCACTACAATAATTTCAAGAACACATACAAAACATGTCATCCAATAGTTATATGTATATATTTATACTGATAATATGATAACAAATTAATAGATGCACCGGTACAATAAGGCTTGGCTTTCTCCTTTGATTTTCCTAATACAGATTAAAAGACAACACTGGCGGTAGCGGCATAAACAGAGTAAGTGGGAGGAGACATGAAAAAAGGGGGGGGGGGGGGGTTTGAGGTGCAGAGATCATTAAAACTTAAAGAAGCCAAATAAAATAACTATAGAAATAGAAGCACACAAAAAAAAAAGTGTATTCAAAACTAAAATAGCTAAGCAGACACCTTTCCCCGTCAATGTTTAAAATGTATGATTGGTAAGCTTTCTTTCACTCTACCTTAAATAATTTGCAGTGACAATCTACTAAATTAACAAAATAAGACTTTCTTTTTAGTTATACTAAAAACTTTCAAAGTATTTATACATGGTACAAATTTTATTTTACAGCACTAAGTAGCCTTCAGGTTGAATGTGTAAAAGGAAAAAAAACAACACACATGTGAAATAAAAGATGACAGTAATAAAAAGTGACTAGAATCAACTAGTTTAGGCTACTTACATTATTTTTATACAGTTCAGTTGCGGCTATATTAAAGTAAGAGAAAAAAAAAAGCAAAAACAAAATGTATGCCGGCATTGATCTCAGATAAACTAATCACTTGCTACTCATCTATAACATATTAAAATAGTGTGTAATGCTTTAGCAATAAATACAATTTTTGTTTATTTAAAGATTATATAGCACATTGAATAAAAAGGCTTTTGATATTATGACAAATAAATTATTTATAAATAGCAAGCTATACATTTAATATTTTTCAGAAAAAAGTTAAATGACAAAGTTAAAAATATTTAAAAACAAATGTTCTTTTTTTTTAATTTAAAGTTTAATATTTTATTAAACAAAAAAAAATATTTAGTTTTAATCAAATTAGTTGTTACCAAAATAAAAAGACATGAGCAAGAAATTGTGTATTTGCGTATCACACTAATTACTGTGCAAGAATTACACTGTTACATCTTGCCAAGAATAATTTAACATTGTATAATCAGCTATAAAATACATTTAAATCTAAGGCAGACCTACGAATTATGTAATATAAAACATTCTGCAACAATGCTTGCCAAAGACAACGTCTATATAAAAACTTCACTTCTCCAATCTGAAAACAAGAATAATTGTTCTGTTCTAATGCCAGACAAGAAAAAAATTGGCAATATGGCGAAGACTAATTTTAGTACAATGTACAAGAATGAAAAGAAAACATCAACAAACAAGTAACAAAATGTAGCAGATAATCTGTGGACACTTTGGTTCTTGTTTGTACAAACTGCTTGAACCAACAAGGGACTAGAAAGAGATTTTATTATACATTGAACACAGTTCAACTTTCTCTTGGAAGCAAATGAAATGTGTGAATGAAAAGAGATTGTCATTAGAGGACAAGACCAGCGAACACAGTGGAAATATATTCATTATTAAGTCTACCGCATTCATTTTTGTTAAACTACATTATTGATATCTAGTACAACTCAAGGACAGTAAATATTCTTCTGTTGCTATTAGCCCTTTAAACAAAATGGATCAAGACTTCAACTGTGACAGATTCTGACCAGATGTCTAAAGTACGATGCTTTGAGAATTTTAATTAATTATATTTATATAGGTAGCATTTTTTTTGTAGAAGCATTCACTCAGAAATAAGAATAATGTGTCACTCTAGCTATTAATTTGAGTACAACATATAATCAAAAATATTTTTTGTCAAATGATTAAATTTTTTTTTCTCTAAAATCATATATGCAGGAAATATTTGAAATAAACCATACATTTACCCCACTATTTCCTTCTTATAAACTATTGCATTCATTTCGCCAATTACAGCTTTTTATTAGCAGCTTAGGCTCAACTTTCATGTCTGTATTTTAAAACAGACCAGATCCTAACAAACAAATTAATAGTAGGTGACCTATCACAGAGAAAGAATGCTCTTTTTTTTGTGTGTATAAATTTGCAAAATTTAAACATGACCAGAATTTCATGCACATTCTGACCAATGCTTTAACATTTTCCAAGTTAACCCTTTATTTTTTTTTTCTTTGGCAACCCAATCAATATTAAAAGGCATGACTGGTATCAAATTAAAGAAGCGAGTACAAGTCTTGACACTCATGACGAAGCTTTGTAATAAATGTACATATTCAATGAACAGCAAGGTGCAATGTGAGTGTACGCAGCCTAATCTCAATGAACCAAGAGAATTCGCCAT